GATCATGGGACGAGACTATGGGAAGTAATGCCTCTCCCGGAAATCACCAAGGGCCTGTGACAATGATTATGACGTCACAATGCATCATTGTTTACAACAAAGCAAATATGGACATGAACACCGTAAGTAGACACTGTGATCTAGCAAATGTAGCATACATGTATAACATTTTTAAAGTGTATGGTGGAAATCGTTTGTCTTGTGAGTTGATGATTCTTAATGCAAGTTCGCGTCAGTTTCGATCTTATTTTTTTTTTCATTATATGCACCCGGACTGAGGAATGACCCTAAGGTGATAGACAAATGTTTACACAGTTTTTTCTTCTCCCCTTTAAAAAAATCGTTAAAAATATGTAAGGCCTTTTAAGCCAAATATTTGGGATAAATAACCTTTTTTTTTTAAATTATGTATATTGGTTTGGATTAAATTACATTTTGGTACAAATACATTGTTACGTCATGATATTGGTCTATGACGTCAAAGTATAGTTTTGTTAACACAAAGGCGATAATTGATTGATTGTTTACAAGTATGTTGTTTTATGTCCCGTTCGAGACGTCGCCGTATATCGGCAAAGGGCTTCAAATTTAGACCTTTACTCGGCACTCAGGGCTATTGAACAGTGAGGATTATTTATCGTGCCAACGCCTACCGTGGCACAGGGCCTCGGTTCGTAAGGTCTCATCCGAATGACCTGCAACTTTCACTTCAAAGTGCCGAGCGCCTGGCGTAGGGACAGTTGCTACCTTTTTTTCGACTTAGCTAAGTCGCGGCCGTGATTCGAACACACGACCTTCCGCTCACGGAGCAAAAGCGATGAAATGCAGCTTGTGAGCAAAACTTTTTATGATAATTTCATGAAACGGTCAGAATCTCTCTCAGAAATGAATTGCAAAAACTTGATATTTTTAGTCCCTGAACAATCTTGATCTAATTATCTGCAGTATGGTACATATATTGAATTTCGCTACTTTTCTCGTTTTCCTGCTAAAGTCCTCTTTTTTTTTTTAGAATATGTTGTTCTCAAACGTTTAAATTTTAAATTCATTTTTAAGTTTGGGTCAGCACATTGATGTCAACGCAAAATTTAATAACGCAAATTGTAATAAGATATTTTTTGGATTATTATATTCTTAGTTATTATATTTTGCGTCGATATAGAAAAACACAACAATTCCAAATGTAAAAACACACTTTTTGGTCAGTCAGGTTGGGAATAATGATTATTTATTGCTTTATTATTAGCCTTTTCCTGATCTACGAAATAATGCAAGTTCCATTTGAAGGGATCAAATTATTTCCTGGCTTTCAGACTTGACAGTTTTTAATAAAAATTCGAATATGGATTATTGACAATATTGACATCCCTAGTCAAAATTAATGGTGCCTAAGGAAAGGCCTTCTCACAAGAAATATACTGGTGAAATATGAAAGCTGAAGCGCCAATCGTTTAAAAGTTTTTACCAAAATTAAAGTTTTCCAAAAGTAGGTCAAAGTCCAAGGTCAAAGGGTCAAAGTTGTTATTATCAAAAGGAAGGTCTTGTCACAAGAATTACATATGCGAAGTATGAAAGCCCTAGCATCAGCGGTTCCAAAGTTATGGCCAAGGTTAAAGTTTTTCAAAAGTAGGTCAAAGTCCAAGGTCAAGGTCAAAGGGTC